TTGATGTCAAGGTATAAGTGTTTTTAAAAATGCTGTGTTTCTTACTCTGCGTAGCATGTTTCTAATTACAGATCCACTGTAGCTCTGCAGTCATTGGTATTCAGATGTTAACTCCACACAGTATCATTCCAGCTGAAGCAGAGTAGAGTCAAACTGTTAAACATTATTCAGAGGAGCTGACAGGTTTGACAATACTTACTCATCAGTGCTTTACTAGCAGTACTCTCATCTGTTTGATAAAAGAAATTAGCATAAAATGTCATTAATGTCTCTCTTTTTTTTTTTTCCCTCTCTGTCTCCAGTGTGAGCAAAGTGGCTGTTGTAGTAAAAGGAGTGTTTGTCACTTGGTGATATTGCTGTACATCCATTGTCATGTTCCAAGATGCAGTTACCAGAAAGGCAAGAATTTGAGATGACAAACCAGAATTTCAAATGTCTTGCTTCCTTTTGAGTGGAACAGAATGTTTCATTTTCCTAATGAATTCAACAAACAGTAAGGCCAACATAACTCAGTGGAACTTTAACAAAACTCAAGGAACTAGTCAGCTGTTTGCCTCCTAACAAGAATAACTAACACACCTCAGCCCAGGAAGCAGGGTCAAGTCTGCATTTCAGCCTCCCTGAGATGATTAAACTCGCCAGCTGTTGAATTGCTCCTTGCTCTTCAGCTTTTCCCATGGCTGGCTTGATATGCCACTTTTCTACACTAGCGTGTCATATCCCCTCCTCTGGCATCTCATTTTATGTGTGCAAGATGCACAGTTTGTATACTCACAGTGCCTTCATGAATTAAACTTCAGCATTTGAGCATCCAGCTTTAATTCTCTGTCAAAATATGTCAAAAACTAAGTGCCTGCTTGAACAGGAACCTTAGTAAAATGGCAAGAGCTGCATTGGAATGAGGGAGCTTCAGATCTGTGCAACTCTCTGCATCTCTGTGCAAATGACTAAAATTGTCTGTAATATTAGCCTCTTTTGTTGTGCAGAAACCTAACTCTTGTCCAAAGATAAAATGCTTCCTCATATGACCTAGTCTATTATCTAGACATGTAGACTATATCTCCTGGGAGGTGTTTTTGAGACACAGATCAGAATGACAATTGGCCCCTCTCACATTTTTTTGCCTTTTTCTACTGGCAATACAAGAAAATACTCCTACACTTAAGGTTATATGAACCTCATCTGCTCACAAAAGAGATAATGGCAGAAGGGAAAGAAAAAAAGATAGGCTGTATTTGTGGCCCATTTTAGTTGGAAACTGCAGTGTAATCTGCCTGAATTGCAGCTGAATGAGAATATAAAGCAGCACCATACCCTGAGAGCATACATGATTGCAAAATGGTGCTTCTCCACCTTGAGCTGTGTTGACTTTACAAATGATAACAAGTCAAAGATAGAGAAATTTCTAGGTTTAAAAAAAAAAAAGAAAACAACTTATGCTAGCCAGCTCCCTTGTGCATACTGTCTTAATGAACTTATTTATCAATTGTTTTGTCATGAGTTAAATCAGAGACCATATTCTTTATGATGGGGATGTATATATACATTAAAAATAGGCATATGCATGTGCAAATTGCSTGTAAGCAAAAATTTGCTAGTTATTAGCTTTAAAAAGTCTTGCATTAGGAGAGGGTGCTTCAAAGGTSTAACGGTTTTCTGTTTCATTGCAAAGAATAACTGAGACAATTGACTTACGATTGCAAAGTTTTTTTAAGAAACTACTATGAGCAAAAGATGAATTCAACTTTCTGTTCTGTTATAGACTATATCAGGAAAAAGTGTGTGAAATRTAATTCAAAACTAATCAAAAAGACAACTAAGGTATGGTTCTTAGGRCAGTATGACTGACCTAATGGTTCTGCTTCAAATAAAATTTAGTGGCCTGATCTACRCGTGTGTTTCCGCAGTCTTCACTGCTTTTTTTGTTGATAAGTAATCTCTGCTCTATGTGAAAAGTGAAGCTTTGCTGAGGGAAGAGTTTTGTTTTGTTTTTTTGTTTGTGTGCGTGAGTACCCATGTAACATCTAGCAAAGCTGAGATCTTGCTAGTAGTATTTAGCTGCTATTATAGGGACAATCAGCATAAATGCTGGCAAGGTCAGAACAGTAGCTGTTGAAATACAAGTATGTTGCAAAATGGCCTCTGTAATTAGTACTAGTTAGCCTCTCTGACAGACTTGTAAAGAAGCCAAGAAATACAATGTGCTTGTTTATTTAATTATTTTCCCCAAGTGCTGTCCCTTCATGTGTTTAAAACCATGTTTATGCATTTTTACTTCCACGGATCCTCTTAATTTTTCTTTTCATGACTGTCAGCCAGGAATCTTTCAGCAGTGCACAAAATGCTAAATTATTTCCTAAAAGTACACTTGCAAGCAAAGAATAAATAACGTTACCACTTTAGACAATAATCCTGAAATAAACTCGGTGAGACCAGATACTTTCCCAACAGGATGAATGTATCCACTTCATGAGATATCTGTATGGGTATTCCCTTCACTTCCAGGAGATTTTTCATAGAAATCAACAGTGTTTGAACATGGTATACCCAATATTAAACCCTACTTGCTTCATTATAGTTTCAAAAATAGTAAATAGAACATCTGGAAACTTTTATGTTATATTAATGACTTGGAATTATAGCTAGAAAGTGTAATTTCTACCATAATAGAACTACAGCTGTTCAACTCAAGAATCTTAATATCATAAGCTGACTTCTTGGTTTTTGATACTTGCATCCTTGAAACCTAAAGAATGTGACTAGTTGGAGTAAAATAGAGCTTAAATGGTAGATTTCATGGGCTTTTATTATCCAGCAATTTTARAATCAAGTCAAATAGTTAAAGCCTGTTGTTTAGTAACTCTTCACCTGTGGAAGACTACCCTGTTTTCAGATGGTCGGTCACTGAGTTTTCCTAAAACCTCCTCGCTTCCTTGTGAATGACACCTGTTTGCTGGTGATGGAATGTAGTAAAGCTCTGCATCGATTTCTCTTCGATTTTTGTCATCTATGGGCAGATATTTAAATGTTGCATTTTCAGGTGTGTCTGTCAGTCTTGAAGTTGCTAATTTATTTTACTGACTGTAGCCATGGAAACCCCTGCACTGGGAATTAGTGTGTGGGGAATATGTAGGCCTTTGGCAGAAACACCATTACCCCACATTAACGTTGAACAAAAGTGGGGATTTTTTTTATTTTGTTCCATCTTGCAGTAGATTTGAATATAGCTGTGAACTGAACACTAATATTTTTTTCCAGGTTTGCATAATCGCTCTTTTGTGTGAGATCAATTGCCACAAAGGTGAGCTGAGAAATGCCCGAGTGTGCAGCAGTAGGAATGCATTGGAATGAAGTGTCCAGCGGCAGCCGTGCGGCCAAAGCGCCGCTGCTGCTGCCGCCCACGGCTTGCTGAAGCTGCTCGGATTCCTCCAGGCTGCTGCTTTGTGCAGGGCCTCACACTGAGCCGGAGTTTTCTGCCTCCGTGCCTCTCACGTTAAGGAGTGGAATTCCTGCTCTTAAGCATAAATTATTTATGTATTCCTTTTACTTTTTGAAAGCTATCTAACCTTCAAAGAGTTAAGAAAATGGCTGCCCTTCAACTTGTTTGATTTCTTTTTGAGAGCAAAGGAATTTTTTTTGCAAATTGTTGTCTTTCAAGACAAGCAAGTGATGTAAATAATTATTTTAAAAACCATCTAGATGAACTGAGTTGCAGCTAAAATGTAAATGCGTGTTCCTCAAAACCTAAACCACATGAATCCTCCCTTATGCATAGGCTGATTTGATCCAGTGCTCTGAAATTCTTTGCTGTATCCTGCTACCATGTCTGAAATCTTACCATGTGTGTCACTAGTGATTTAGAAATACTCTTGATATGAAAATATGCCGAGTAATTCTGCTTTAATGATGACTAATGTTGACTTCCTTTATGAACAGTTKCACGAAGTCACACTAAAGTTGCCCTAAAGATGTTTGAGCAACTTTCTCACCTGAAGTGTGCCAAGAAGGGAGAGAAGAACATACGACTGTGATGCTTTTTTTTTGTGTGTGTTGTGAAACATAGAAGCATCTGTTCCACTCATCTTGATTTTTTTTTTTTTTTTTTTTTTTTTTTGTGCCAGCCTCTGAATTCATCTTGATCTTCTGCTCCAGGCATTAGCAGCTGAGAGGAGAACAGTGTAGCTTTGATGTGGAGTTAAGGGCAAGATCAGCCCTGGAAGTTGGGGATTTACAGCTATTACCCAAGCAAATGTAAAAGGCGGCTTAATACAGATGGTGCTCGTTCACAGTGTGGCATTAACCAAATCCCTGTTTTAAAAGCAGAGCAGTCTGTTTTCCCACTCTATTAGAGTCTGGTTTTGATGTTAAAGGCCAAATGGTGTTCTATTGTATTGCTTCAGCACCCCCTTCCCTCCCGTAAGTAAAAAGGAATTGTGCCAGAAAGAGCTGAAAGACTATGAACCTCAAAATACRTAGTGTAAAAATCTGCTGTAATATTAGAACAGGCAACCCTTGGATTTAAGGAATGGAACGGTAGGGGGGAATTTATTTAAAAAAGTAACTGTAAAGAGCATAAGAATCTCTTTTGTTTATGTATTTGATGATTTGTTTCAAAGAGTTCCTTTTGTGCACAGGTCTGTTGTGAAAAATATGCACCAGACTCTGAATTCAAATAGACTCTTTCTTTCTATCAACAAAAGTGATTAAAAATCTAAAAAGGCAAAACTTTTGTTAACTTTGACAATATGAAATTATTGAATATAAAATTTCAGTGAAACCTAGTCTCAAAATTCTTCCAGTAATACTTGATAAACTTTTTAAAAGATGGATATATCCATTGAAGAATGCAAGATATGAAGTAATCCTAGAATCTCGTTTGCTTTAAAAAAGGCAACAAAACACAAGAAAAATAATTCTTCTTTTTAAACACTAGCTCATATTTAAAGCTTTGTCAAAGGCTGTATGCAGTGTTCTGCCAGGTCAAACTTTTTTTCTTTCAGTTGAGTGACAGGTCTGGATGAATTCGAGAAGAATATCATGTTTTTATGGTCCAAAAAAATGTCATGTTTGAGTGAAATTAAGAGATTTTTGAGAAAACAAGGACTGGAAAACTTCGTTAGTCAAATCTTCACAGGTTATTCCTACCCTTCTTCAGGTATGCTTATTGCTAATAAGTAAGATTTACTGRTCTTATTTGGTCCATAAATCCTGAATTATCTTGTGGAAGTAAAGTTAAAATTATAATATTGGGTATTAATATTTGTTATGTTATAACATTTAAGCGCTTTATTTATAACTTATAGTTTGGGGATTAAATGGCAGATTTTTTYCCACCTAAAATGAGCTATTTCTATGTGTTCCCTAATTCCTCATCTTTTTAATATTTTTTATTAGCATGCATTAAAATTTATTTCCCTTTTGTGTTACTCAACTTACGCAAGAGGTCTGATAGTTCTTAAACAGTAGTGATACAGCGGTTCGTAGGAGGCAGACCATTGATGCTGCATATGTTTGACAAAGCAGTATTTCTGTGTGCTTTGGTAAGAGGCTTGCAGAAAAATCAGCACTATTTGGGAATAGTAGATAACAGTCTCTTCATATATTTGAGTGCTGTACATACAAATGAGTCTTTTAATGAAATGAGTACCATCCATGGTGAGGCGTGCTGTCTAAAATTACATCTTAGCAGTAAGTTCATAAAGCAAGAGAAAGAGAGCTATATAAAGGAAATTGTAATTAAATTGACTTGATAGTTTCCTGTTCTAATGATTGTCAAGAAAATGCCTCTTTCTCTTACTCCAGACTTTCTATTTTCTTCTTATTTGGAAGGTCATTCGCCCTGAAAAGCTGGCTTTTTTTATTACGCAGACGTAGAGCTGCAAGCCTATTACAGCATCTATTTCTGACTTTCTGAATAAAAATTCCTGAGACAATCTTCCAAATTAAAAGCACACTCTGAATTCTTGACCATTTGCTAGTCTTTTGCAGAAGCATTTGCAGGTTATTTATGGATACTTGGAATACTCGTCTTTGAGGATTGGTATCATTTATATAGAAAAATAGCGCAACTTAACATGAAATTTGAGTTCAGCTAGTATTGCTATGTTGTGAGTGCCTGGCATATTTTGTTCTGTCTGGTTAATAAATACTGCTCATGGAAGAAGTTTTTGACGTGTTAGATCAAGCCTCTGCACATCAATATGGAGAAAAGGTGTGGGCTGCTTTTTGTTTGGTGGGCTTTTTTTCCTAAGAATTCTGGGACTGAAAACAATTACGAGTTCTGAGGATAATATATTGAAATGATACCAGTTTTATATTCTCAGAAAAGCAGTAGTAATTGAATGCATAATATTGTGCTTTACAAATTTCATGTGATTCGTATTGTAGAGGTTACATATAGTTTTAAATTCAGAAGACCAGCAAAAACATGAAACYTGTATGACACAGATTGTAAGACTTTCTTGAAAGTAATTTTTGACTGGAGTTTAAATAAAATGGATCAAAATACCAAGGAATACAGCTAGGAATCCAGCAGCACAAAATTCTAACTTCTTAATTCTTTCACAAGATAATGTAATTATACATTCTATTTAGCAATAGTCAGCTTTGTAATGTCTATTATTTATTGTTGTTTTTTTCCCACTTTTGTCCTGGGTTTATAAATGCAGAGAAGAAGCAACATCCCTCTTTAAGCAGACTCATATAGGTAGTAATTAAAATATCTTTAAATGAGACTTGGAAAATTCCTGTGTGACACATCTACCATGTGTCACAGTAGTGGCAGGTCTAATAATAATATAATAATATAATAATAATAATTTGTACAGTAGAACTGTAGAATGCTGAAATGTTTCTGTGCAGGGAAAGCCTGGAGCTAAACTGAAGACTACTGTTGATTCACACTTCTTATGCTATAAGTGTTATCCTTTATTGAAAATATGTTTCTTGTAATATTTAACAAAATCCTGTTTCCTTTGTCTGATAGCTGCTTTGGAAAATTCAAGCCTTAAACATGCTCCTCACCTTCATGACTGAATTTTGTGAGTACTCTTTGCGGACTTCTAACTCTTCTTTTTTCATTGAGAGTGTCCTTCTGAAAGCTTTATCGTTTCCAGCAGTTACCTCCTTACAGAGAAAGGGAGGCATGCTTTTGCTATTTAGAATTGTATACAACATTTGGCTGGTGTAAATTCAGTAGTATGTAATGCTAAGACTTAAATGTTCATGAAGTTCCATAATTAATCATCAATTYATCCATGTAAGTTAACTGATATCTAATTAACAATATTGTGCATGTATATATGACTTGGTAGCTGTGTGAGTTGCAGGTCTCTGCAACATGATATAGGTTGTTATTTTATGTGTCCACATTGCAAATTCTCATCCCTTTCCCTAGTGTTTCAGTACTGCATGTTGGTCTTTCTAGACCTAAAGGATTTCTACCGGAATCTACATCAGATTTTTTGTWCATGTTAGCTGTGAAAGACAATTTACTTTTTATTTAATAATACAGTTTAAAACTAGCAAAACCAGAAAGCAATGCAAGATTGRTTACTATAGAAGACTCTACATAACTTTCCACCATAAAGGTAAAACCCATTTCTTGAATTTTGTCACTTCATACCAAAAAATGAAAAAKGAAGTATTGTTGGTGATTTCAGGCAGATGCAAAATACAGTTTATGTCATTGTTTCTTTCTAACAAAATGTTTTTTGTTTTTATATTTAGAAGCATAAGACAGTATGACCAGTAATCATAGTAATGAAAACAGGTACAAATTCTCATATGGAACAAGCTCTCAGCGGTGAATCCATTTGTATGCAGTTACTATGCCTATTTTTCTACCACAAGAATGCAGCCAGTATAAACAGCTGATAAATTTGAACAAGATATTTTAAAAAGAATTCTATTATCGAAACCTCCTGAACCATTACAAAATAGCAGATGAGAAATATTTCACAGATTGTAGATACTGTTAGTATTTTTCTGGTATCCTTGCAGTAATCTGTTGCAATTTGCTTCTCCTTGTCTTTGAAAAAGCATTGGTCTGTGGAGTTAAGAATGGGAAAAGACAGAGCCATGGAAACATCTTTTTTGGATATGTTTTCAAAATTTATTTTTTCTCTGAATTTCTGAGTCATAAATATAAATTATTAAAGTGAAACGCAATAGAAAAGCACTGTAATATAATCTAGTTAGGTCTAAAAATCCCTGTAGAGTTTTCTTGCGTGTATTTTGTTTTGGTTTGTTTTTTTGTTGTTGCTTTTTGTTTTTATATATAGCTTGACTCTAAGAACACTGAATTCTGAACATAGACRGAAAGGTATGGATTAAGATTTCTTAACTCTTTCCATCTGAATATAGAGGGGTTTTTTTACTATTATTAAGCTGTAGCTATTGCCACAWTTTTTGATAGAAGCTGTGTGTGTTTGTGTACGAGTTTTACAATTCAGAATTCATGTAGGGAGGTCACTGCTAGTAACAGATCCATTATGAGCATAAAAGATCTTGGCAGAATTATAAACACTAATTGTCAACATTGAATGGAAAGGATTTCCTGGTTCATCAGGTCTGATGAGCTGAATGTCTATGAACCAAATAATCAACTTTGAAGTAGCTCAAAAAACTTCCAATATGACTCCCCTTTCCTGAATTCCAGACATTATACGTGTCTAGGGTGGGTGAGGACAATGATTTATCTAGAAATCTAGGTGGGTTTCTAAATGCAGGTCGATTTCTAAATCCTGCAGATGCCCTTAAATTCTAAAAGGGACTTATCTAAAAATGAGTCAATAGTTCTAAAAAAGTTAAGATAAAGCGAATCCAAAGAGATTCCAGTGAATTCTGCCCTATCAGGTGGTTCAGAGGTTGTATTTTTTGCATATTTTATAAGTTTCTGATAAATTTACTTTAAAGGAAATTACAGTAAACCTTTCCAACATTGCTCTTGGGTGCAGGATACCTTTTTATTTCTGAAAACAGAGGAAAGAGTTTTCTTCCTCATCTTAAGAGCCACTGTTGCTGAATAAGTAAACGGAAGCAAAAGCAGTGAAATCTCACTTATAAATAAGGCCTTTTATGCAGTTGTGGTTTTCTTTCTTTGCCATTCTGTTGTTTTCTGTTGGCAATGGATGGCTGTTCAAGCTCTGTGCGTGTGGCACTTGCACCTGAGAATCTCTGAATACAAATGCAGGTTAAACCTCGCGTGCAAGCGGCATGTGTGAGTTGCAAAATTTAAAGAACTGGAAACTTCATTTGAAACCACATCGGCAGCTTCATCCACCTGTTAAAAAGACCTGTTTTCTGTGTGTTAGAACTTCCATTGAATTTTCTCTTATTTGGTAGGCTCATTATCACAGTTGCAGACCTAATTTTCCTTTTTTATTGTTGCTCTCAAAGGAGTAGTCTTCAAGGAAAAGGAAAAATCCCACCCTCCCTGAGCAGGCGCCTGTAATTACAAACACAGCTGGTATTTACTGTGCTCTGCAGCAAAGAAGCTTCAGCTCCCAAAAGATTCRTAGCCCCATGGCAATCGGTGTATTTATCTGGAATTAGGATTGTCATTCCTTCAGCTATCGTAATGCAGGAACTTTTAGACAGAGGAGGCATGGATGGTATAGCTGGCACCAAAGCAGTTTTTAGGTTTATAGAATTTCAGTGTGGTCAGAAAGAATATTTTAAGATTAGTGGTGTTCATACATCGTTAATTATCAGCTGCTTTGCTGAAGGGTAGTCAGACTTATTACTCAATTTATTTTGGACCCATTCACCTTTTGCAAATTATTTCTCACATACTGTGAGAAATCTGAGAGAAAGCTCTATGGGAAATAAGATATTAGAAACAGGAAAAAACAACAACAACAAAAACAGGAAGACACAGGAACATTTTAGTAGTGCTGGTGCCCGTACCCTGAGATCACTTTCCTTTGGTGAATACTGACTTAGGAAGAGTCTGCAGTGCAATAGAGTGATGCTGCTAATTGGCCATTAGCCCTTTTGCTGACAGGACAGTACAAAAAAGATGGGTCTTTTTATACAATTCAAAATAATGTTGAATAAGGTTTTCTGAGCAATTATGATAAACATCTGCATAAGCTCTTAATTGTTTCTGAATGATATTTGCCTCAAGAAACTGAATAGTGATCTAATAATGTTAAAAAAAAAATTTGTGTATGCTACATGAAGTACCTTATCTTGCAGCATCATCATTTGGTTTGCAGTAAAATAGGMAAGTATATTTCCTATTTAAAATTCATTCTTATATTTAAACAAATGCTGCCATTGAGCATTTTTTTTCTTACTGAAAGTAGATTTTAATAAGGGACTCAAACTGATTCTAATATTTTTGAAGTGCTTTACAGAAAAAAAATTCACATTAGCAGGTCCAATGCACATTTCATTATAAAAATGCATGATAAGCAGGTTACGCTTCTAAAATGTAAAATAGAAAATGGCCCATATTGTAAAGCTCTTCACAGATGTAGACAGAATAAAAAATGAATATTAATGCAAAGATTTAATCCCATGAAAAGTTATAACTTGATTGATATCATATTGACCACTTTAATYGCAATAATTTCCATAGTGGATATCAGTATCTGTTAATACAGACAGTTTTACGTCACTTACTTTAAAGAGAAGGTATAATTTTTAGGAAAACTTCTGCAATGTCTGCTAAAAAAGAGCACTTTTTAGCGTATGATGCTATTAATATATTTTCATGAAAAACACACTAACAATACTCCTAAGTGTTAAAGAAGTATTTACATAAGATTAATGAATTAGGACTTTTGCTTTCCTGTCATTTTAACGCATCATGGGTCTACGAAAATGTAGACAGGCTACTTTATCAAGGTTTTCCTATTATATTTTAATTTTTTAGTCTTTTAAATAAGACTCCCACCACATGAACTTATGTGTAAGCCAGGTGGCATCTTGTGCATTTTGTTGTATTTTAGCTGATARTAGTGAATGAATACTGAAGCATAAACCCAAAACTGGATCAAAAGATAGAAGACAGTTTCCTAGATTTCCATGTGAAGGCATGGTATTTACATAGAAAGTAGGTACTCCCTCAGAAAGAACAAATAATTAGGTACTGAAGAGAGTATATTTTTCCTGTATTTTTTTTTTCTTATTTTTTCCTCTTAGAGTGGAATCCAGCCTGTCTTCTCAAAAGTGTTGAGTGGTAAAATTGGTTGATATTAGATTGCGTATTCTCCGTGATTATCTAGCATTTATATATGGGTAGGCATCTAAGTTCCGACACGGCTGCTGTTTGTGTCTTCACAATTAGTGAGTGGAGTAGTACGTGGTAGTTTTCAGAGAAATAGATGAATAAAATCTGGTTGGAGGCCATCATTTCTGAKGGCACAATTCAGAGAGCTTCAGGGCCCTTTGGAAATGCCAGGAGGTCAGCATATCCCCAGGGAGGTGCCAGGGAGCCTGTCCATGCACTGAACTGGATGTAAGGAAATGTGCCAGAGCCGCCTGGGTTTTGAGAGCCCTCGGGGAGCTCCAAGGGGGGATGAGGAGAATACAAATGTCACCGTAAAGCAGCACCCCAGAGGCAGGGCGGCGGTGCGGAGCAGAACAGGCCCTCCAGAGTGGGGCTGGTTGCCGCAGGCCGAGCGCCGCGCGGTGCAGCCCGCGCCGAGCTCGCTGCCTGGGCTGTCCCCGAGCACCACTTCAGAGCACCCTGCACGTGCCTCCCATAGCTTAAAATACGTCACAGGAGAGGACTGTGCAACCTTATGTGCACCGCCTCCCGCTAAGGCAGGTAGTTGGAGGAGGAGTTAAAAACAACTTCACCTTGATGGTGAGAAGCGATGTTTGGGGAGGAGTATAACTTTGAGAGGTATCTTCTGCTTTATTATTAGCTGGTCTTATCAACGCGTCTGGAGTTAGGTGAAAATTTAAGATCGCAAACAGTGCCAGTTTCYAAATGTTGCAGAAGTAGCTTTACTTCCAGCTTTAATCTCCTATATTGAAAAAGCTTTGTTCATCACTGCTGCTACTCCAAGATTGGAGGTACTGGCTGCCTACAGTGCAAATTTTCTGAACTTTTCCAACTTTTCCAACATTTCCAGCTTTTAACAGGAGAATTGACTTTTATTTAGCTTCACTAGTTAAGCTAAACACCAGACCTGTCACTTTGCAAGTTTTATTTCTCCACTTGTCTTCCTTTGAAATCCACTAAAGATGCAACTTTATAATTTTTATAAAAGAGTATTTGACATACAAAATTTGTGGACAATAGAGCTTCATCGTACAGTTTTAGTAAACAATCTGAACTTACTCTCAGGGAAACACAAAGCTTGAACCAACAAACTAACCACAAAGATCAGAATATATACAGATAGGCAAGATAGCAATAATATTTACATTTGAAGAAAATAATTACTTCCCCCTTTGACTGTGTTACATTTTTACTGTGGGCCAAACAGGGAGGCTTCTGAGTTGCCTTAGGAGCAAATGAAGGATGTGTGTGCTGAGCTTAAACTTTATTGTGYAAAAGCAGCCCGCTGGTCGCTTGCTGTTTGCAAGACCAGATCCTCGGCACAGAAGGAGGGAGGGATGCAACAACCTAATATGTTGCATATTGCCTATCAATACAGCAGAATGGTAAAAAGGGTGAAAAGAGCATAGCAAGCAGCAGCTGGAGCAGGTTTCCAGGATGGATGGGGTTGGACACTGCTGAATGATGGAAGTATTTGAATTTGCTTTTAGAGCAACATGAAACAGTATTATTGAAATGGTATGCAATTTTAAACTTSTTCAAAGTTTCATTTTTATTCAGCAAAAGGAGTTAGCTTCCTCATGCAGGAGCTTTTTGACTAGAGAACTGAGGAGGAGGATGAACATTACTGCATCATGACTGTGCTCAGAAAAGTTCCTCACTCACAGAGGACAACTGACTTGATCTTGAAAGTCCAGCGTACGCGAAAGGCTGTCACTCCCTATTTTATAGCKGAATGGATACCTAGCAGCCTTCCACGGTGGATCTTACGAGCTAAGGCCTGAATTAAATTTGAACATTACAGCAATTTCTAAAACAGTAAGTAATTCATTTTAATTGAAGTTTTAGCTTTCCAAGTTATCCAAAGATTTGGTCTCACGAGCCCTGATAATATACTTAGCAGTACTTAGGATACTCTGCTGCAGAATGACAGTTTTGGTATTCCTTTTTAAATTATTTATACAGATCAGGATTTTAAAGCAGTTTAATTATCTTCTTGCAACCTTGTAATGTTTTGCAACTGTATTATAGTCACTTTGTGCATTTCCTTCATTTAGCTCTTTTCCTGATGAAATGCATTTCTGGCTGAACTACAGTTGCAGCCGTTAGCTCCAGTAAAATASAGCAGATCGTTGCTAAACCAGACATAAGGTCTAACATCTATTAATAATAGGAATGAATCAAAGACCCTGAGGATAAGAAAAACAGGGGAGTAAAATTTCATGTGACAAGATAAAGATGTCATAACAAGATTATACTTATAGGCAATTAAATATATTCAGAAATGATCTCAAAATTGATGAGATCTGACATAATGGAAAGAGTCCTAAAGATTGCAGTAAATGATTGCTTTACAGGATGGTGTATGGTAGGAACACTACAAATAAATTCTGTTTCCTGTGTGTTGAAGTCTTTTTCCCCTTATCTCAACTATGTCTTGTGGCCAGATTCGCTTCAGCTGTATCTCCAAGAAAAAAACCTTGGAAGTTGTTTTTAAATTCACTGATTTAAAAAGTATATATTTAAATTACAGTGATACTTAAAGGCCCTGCTTAGGAGCCTCTTATAAGAGTTCCCTTTTGAAGGGAACTGGCATAGCGGCTTCATTAGAGCAGATGAAGAATAAAAGGTAAACAGAGGCCAAGCCTGTGTACAAAATAGGGAATATTGTAGTCAGCAAGAAAAGAACAGAAGAGTGGTAATAGAGGAGAAAGATGGGAAGAGTCATGGAAAATACGTAAGTATAAGTACTAGAGGAGACAGAGTTGGAATGYCTTTAGGAAGGGGGAAGAAAGTCCAAGAAAAGTGGTAGTGAAGGAAAAGAAATAGCATTAACATATTCTATTTTCTTTTAAAGATTTTTAAAGAGCAAAAAGGAGAAAGAAGAATATTTTATAGAACTGTTCTACTAAGAAATTCATTTCACGTGGATTTTCAGCACAGTCATTAAAATGTGCTATCCCCAGCTCTTTGTGAAAGTTGGAAAAGAGCAGCTCTCATGCAAGTAAATGTTAATGCTACTGAATTACACAGTGCCTGGTTAATGCATGGAAGGGCAGCAAACTGCAGGTGAGTAAACGGTGGGGAGCAGTTCAAACACGTGATAGCGATTGATCCTGTCCCCCAGATGTTATTCCACTGTGGGCCACACTGGTTACGCTAGATGTGTGAGATCAAATCAAGACTTTGCAAAATACAGCATTTAAAAAGAAAATAAAGCTGCTCTGCTGTGCACTCTGATTCAAGCCAGGAAGTTCTTTAGCATGGTTCTCAGTAAACTGTTCAGGTTCTATTTCATAAGCTGATACTGTCCTAATTTAAACTTTGACTTCCTATTACATAGTCTAAATCAGAAGATTAAAAGCCTCCTGCTGCAGATTTTTTAATAGAAAGTGACAGTTTAATTTGGCCGAGCAGAGCTGAAAGGATACTTAAACCCAGTAAAGAGTGCCAGCATCAGCAGCTCCAGAGTAGATGAAAATGAAAACAGAAACGCGAATAATTAACAGATAAGCTATGTAGGTATTTTAAAATGGTTTAATTTTGTGAAGTTTTCTTCTGCACTAAATCTCAGAGACGATTTTTTTTTTTTTTTTGCTGTCAACCTGGTGTTGCTTACTGAAAAATGTAGCAAATACATGCAGCTTTTTTATTTTATGGAGGACATGGGTGGGTTTTTTGTTTGCTGGACATGAAAGGGTATAATTTTGCTGATTTAGTTGCAGGTACAGCCATAGCATTTGCTTCACTCTTTTATTATTATTATTTTCTTCTTTATTTCTTATAGCTATATTTATATTTCTTTCCCAAGATACAGTAACATTTTAGAAATAAGTGTGTGTATTTCCATTCACTTTGTACTGTAATGCTAAATGAACCTCAATTTTAGGACAATAAGAAATACATGAACAATTTTAGCCCTACCAATGGGACATTCTGTAAAAGTGTGCAGCTTTACGTTGCACACATGAGTTATTCTGTATGCTTAAAGTAAACAGTATCCAGAAAACTATTATCAAGATAATGATATATAAATTACTACTTATTTTGYGCTTGTGCCATCTCTGTTAATGGTAAAACAGCTTCACCAGGCAGGAGGATGTTGCAGATTGAATTTTTTTATTTCAACCACATACTGCGATCAAGGCTGCTAGTTTCAACTTCAAAGACCCTAATATACAAGATTGTTCTTTTCAGAAGTTCAGTGGTGCATTTCAGCCTACAAGGGACTTTGCTAACTCAGCTACTGATTTCAGTTAAGAAATTTGYTTAGAGCAAAGTGAACGTTTTGGTAGTAAAAGCTGGGCAATTTTGCCTTGGTAGAGAAATATACCTACACCTGCACATATGTGATTTCTATGCCCTSTTCCTCCTTGGTAATTAGGATGAGTGTTTTCCTCCACTTCCCAGTAATATTAATTTGAAAATATTTTTTATTTTAGGAAGGTATGCACTCTTYATAGAGAACAACAGTAAATTTAATTTCTGACCTAGTCTTGAGCATCCTAAGCAGAGCTTCTGCCAGCAGTTRAAACTAGTTATGTTACTTGAAATCACAGAGTGATTTAGGCTGGAAGGGGCTGCTGGAGATCAGTTAGTCCAACCTCCCACGGAGGGTGGCTTGAACTAGAATAGGGTGCCCAAGGCTAGTGGAGTCTTCAGTTCTGTTTACAAGGACGAAGATGATATATGAGTTAACCCGTCTATTACAGTCGGTGTCCTTAAGTAACTTTAACCATTGCAAGGAGAGCATATGTGTAGATGCTGAAGGAAAAGTGGGCCGGATTCCTTTGGCATGGCTTCTGCTGCCCTCTGTGAAACAGGGATAGCATAGGAGGGAACGTTCCTGCCTCTTACATCCTTGTGGGATGTGTTTAACAGCAGAGCTCTGCTTCAAGGGATGCTTGGCCTTGCGGGGGAGTTAAGCAGTGCTCTGGAGTAAGAGCTTTCCTAGTCATTTTGAAGCCAGCTCAGGTGCCGGAAGCAATCTGAATTTAATTTCACTGCCCAGAGAAGTGTGAAGAAGTGTGATACTAGGGGAGGAAGGGAAGAAATAAAAAACACCCCAGTTTTTCAAACACATTAGGAACATTTGGTCATCTTAGTTTGGTGAATATTGCCAGGCTTATGGCAATAAGCTTGCCAATAATAATTTCTTAAAGTGTTCAAAAACATCAAGGCCTCCTTGTTTTCTGTTATATATTCCTCCTTTTGTGTTACTTTTTTTTTTGTATATTACTCAGCTCATGACACTAAAATTCCTCTGTAATACTGAATAGAGTAGGGAAGCTTCCTGAAGCAAATTATTAGCATGGATTTTCTCCCAAGGTAGAAAATTGAAGTCTCAGCCTTGTGATAGTGATGTCCTTCCCTTGGTCTGATTGTTGTAATTAAGGAGGCAGCCCTAACAAGGCATTTCAGGGAGTTATTCTGGAAATCCATAGCAACAGCAGGTACTATCAGTCTGCAATTACCTGAGAGTCGAGTGTGGGTGAGGGGAAAGCCCTCAACATTTATCAGCACCTCCAAGGAGCAGAGCCCTAGGCTGTGTATTTCGCTCCTGTTAGGTGAGGGAGTGGAAGAGGGGGAGCTGAATTATTAAAGTAAAAGATCTAGAATTTCTCCTGTTCTAACATGGATTAGGAAAGAAAAAGTACAGAAAGGAAGTACTTTTAGGCTTAGGATAATTAAGTAGACAGTTTTTGTTGTCTTTAATTGTGAGCTTGCATTCCCATTATTTATCTTACCTGGATGGTATACTCTGCAGAATGGCCCCTGTAGTCRGCAGGACTTGGAAGATGAATAACAGCATGTGTAAAAGTCCTGTAAGTACGGCCTGCATCGTGCTGCTAAGTCACTATTACTACCAAGATATTTCTGAGAAACACAGTTTTAATTTTCATTTATTCCCTGAAAACACATTTTTTTTGAGTAATGTTTTCACTGAGACYCTAGTAGTCTTCAGCTGTCAATGGTTGACAAAGAGGCATTTACCCCAAAATAGGAAGCGTTTGTATCTTTCTTTAGTCTCCTTGTTGAGTATGAGCTGTGTCCCAMATCATTGTGCAAAGAGCACGGTGTAGTAGCTAGTTTTGTGAAAGARAGGATTCAAAATAATCCGTAGATACTGCTTTTTTCTTTAGTACCTGCTAAGCAGCTCAAGTTTTGACTAGAGAGAATATACTTTTGCTTGTCTTATGTATACATGTTCCTCAAGGGTAATCCACTCTACAAACAGTCTGCAGAAATGTGATGAAATTTTGTGAGTCTAATTAATTCCCTATCCATCAAGAATGCCTTTGTCAAGCTTGTCAGCACGGAAGCAGGACATGAGCTGGAAAACATTGATAAAACATGACAAAGAGCTTTTAGTGTGTTTGATGTGTCATTCAAGTGTAAACAAATGCTGCAGCACAAAGCAAAAATATATGRCAAGGAGACAGAGAGCGGGAGAGAGGGGGCAGAGACCCAAAACAACAAAATAAGCAAAAAATGCGTGTTAAACTCGCTCTCCTTCTGCACTGTACCTGGCCATGCTGTGTGAAACTCTAAACTTTCGATATACCTTTTCCAAACAAACAGTGAACAAATGCTGGCAGCTTGGGAACAGCTTCTGGTTTACATGTAACAAGGCTGAAGTCAACAGCTGCCTCGCTCGGGGTTCAGAGCGCTGCTGCTGCTGCACGTTGCTGGTCTGTAATGATGTGCTCCCAAAGAAAAGCACACAGCGTGCTGCTTCATCTTTGGGGATAATACTGAGAGAGAAGAAAATCTTTAAATATAGCTAGTGTGCAGGTTTTTTCCTCTCTCTCTTAATATTGAATTMTTCTGTTAGGATACTGATACATGGATCATCTTTCTGTATCTCTCCAACCACCCATCCTGTCTCCTGTTGAAATATACATTAAACTCATCAGTTACGACATAAATCCTCACAAATCTCTCCAAAACAGACTTACAGGTGTAATGGATTGAATTAAAATTGAGAGTGACATACTTTTTAAAATGACTTGGTAAAAATGCCTAATCCTGATGAAAGGTACAAATGCCTTGCCTGAAGCAAAGATAACTTTGAACTATAAATAATGTAATACATTTTAATCAGTTTTACTGCAGCAGTTTTTATCTATGGAATAACTTATCTTGGACTTCTTTTAAAGTAAACTGAAAGAAGAATAAAATTTATTTGAATAGAATTTATGTAGTGAATTCTCCTTAGTTTGGAAACTGGACAGGTTTATGATTGTTCTGTTGCCCTCTCTGTGAACACAGCAAGGAAAAAAATGATTTTTTGAGTAGTTGCCAAAAGCAGTATAGAAAGTGCAAGTTTAGATGAATAGTTTCCTCTTTGTTGGAGAGGTGCTGGTCACGTTTATTCAGAAAAAAAATGTAAAGATGTTAGAAAAAAAAGTCAGCTTTGAACAGAGAAGCCTCCCAGTTTGATGAACCATTGGAGCTTGTTGTCTATGCTTTTAATGGAAAATTGATCATTAACAGAACTTAAATTAGCTGCCTTTACATTGGGTTTATTGACATTTGAATTAGTAAGTTAGAGCCACGTGGAGGTTATTGCAGCCTCTAGGGTTCTTCCTTGACCAGCTAATTTGATAAAGATCAAGCCTTTTAGCCTTTTCAGGAATTTTAATAAAGATTATGTTCAAACTAAATTGTTTCTCCTATATCCATAATGGGTCTACAGGGACTTTCGCAAGATGTAATCACTGTGCTGATCATCTTCAACTCTGCTGGACATTATGCTGGCCATCTTCATTGCATATTTTGAATCACTGATCTGAGCTATAGATGAACTTCATGACATATTTTTTTTTTTCTCTCCAAAAGAGCTGCCAACGTTCTTATCTGTTAAGTATTCCAGATTGAGGAAAAAGAAGAATAAAAGAAAACATAAAGCAACTGTCAGTGAAATGAGCAAAGTAGTGCCTGCATCTTAAGATGAAACTTTCCACTTTTACACTGAAAATTAACGGGCCTCAAACTTTACTATCCAGCTCCTTGCAYGATGCTATGCATTTTTTAGCAATAATGTAAAAATGCTATTATGTCACCATTATCTCASTTTGGAAAACAAGGTTGCTTTGCACAAATGCTTTACATCAATCTTGTAGTATAAAATATGATTCAAAATTGTGTTGTAAAATATTAAACTGCTCTTACGACAAAAAAATATTTTAAATCCGTTGGGGTTTTGGATAAAATGCTGTGTATTTGATCTAAAATACTTCTGACTGCAGAAGTATGCTCAGTATAAACACAGTGATCTGAAATCTGGTGTAGAAGAGAATTGTCAATGGGATCACTCTCGGTGATTTGCTCTTGGCAGAACCAAGGTTTTGTAGAATCCAGTACATTTCAGTGTGTAGAGCATGCGCGGGCGCGTGTGTGTGTATATATATATATTTTTTTAGATGAGTGCTGTTATAGTAGCTGCACCTTCCACCTGCTGATTGATATGTTTTTGCAGGGTGGTATTTAAGCTTTATTAGTCTAAAGGAAATTCTTGAGTTTAACCGTTGCCAAAATGTATGTTAAATAGTATTTCTTGTATTRGAAGGATTTAGATGTTTTATAAAACACTTCTGAATCTCTAGATTTTTGATTTAGACATAATCAGAATTATAATCCTTAACTTCTATCAGTGAGATAATCTGGCATACTGTTGCCTTTTGGTCAAAATGCTTTGGTTGTTGCATTTGAGTGTGGTACTAATTTGTATTTATCTTTTCATATTGCAAAAATAGACATAGCTTCATTTTAATGAGCTACAGGGCAGTGAGAACTTTGATATTGCTGTTCACATCCAGGAATATCTAAAATGCTTAACTCGTGGCCCTCAGCAAAATGGGTCCATTTTCTTCATCTTCAAATTCCTGCCTGATAGTTTGCCTCTATAGTGGATGCAAATCATTTGCTGCTTTTTGGCACAGAATGCCGACTAATACCATTTGTTGATATATCTTACATTTCAGAGGCAAATGGGTAGCATGTTAACTTTTAACAAGTTGAAGGAAATCTGGTGAAAGCCACAGTGCTTGTACGAGTAGACTGAACAGAGGCGTCATTTACACGCTGCCCTTGGTCAGCTTTTAAATGCACCAGGCTGGGAGTGGACAAAAAAGACTTAAAATAGATGGTGTTCCACGCAGACTTCAGAATTCCCGTTTTCAATATCTCATTTCTCTTGTATGCTCGACCAAAACTTAGCATAATGCTGAACAGTGGGACTCCAAAGAATCCTATAAAATATTCTGCACTTAAAAGGCAAAAGATGAATTAAAGTTTCTTTTTATTAAGTCATCGTGAGTATAATGTTTTACGCTAATGAAGAGATAAGAAAGATTAGATTACAACTGATACAGCTGTTTGTAGTAAATATGTCTATCCTGTATACGCATCAATGGAGTGTGAAGAAAAATGGGTGACTAAAGTACTTTTTAATGTCAACATTTTTGTAAGCAAGAAAACACTGTAAAGGTTTGCATGGGTTTATAAAATAGTGCTGTGTTACTGTATGATATTTTCTGCTGGTTTATTTGTTAATTTAAGCCCTTTGAAAACAAACTTTTGAGAGTTTTTTCAAACAAAAAAAGAAAGCTTTCTGTGTCCATTTCTATTTTATGGCCATCTGTCACAATTGAAATCTGCAGCAGCAGATTAGAAGTCAGATCATGAGTATATTGTGGGAGGAATGGGCGCAGAGAGGGGGAAGTTTTATCTACAATGGTATTTTCTAGGACTGACTGTGGTCTGTCTGAGCATCTTGCTATTCTACTGGACTATTTTCAAAGGGCATGGTAAAAAATGTTAAATATGTGGTTCTGAGAGCAACTGATAAGTGTTTTTGCCTGCGTATTTCTTCCCATTAAGGAGCAGAGTGCTTGCATTTTCAACACAGAATTAAATACATCAAAACAACACATAACCTGTAGTTTGATTTGCCAAGGAGTGTTTGTTCTACATCTGTGTGCAAGATCTCGGTGCCTTTTGCAGCCTTACTTGAGCGTCGCCTCTTTTGAGACACTGTTTGCTTTAGGCAGGAAAGGCAGCCCTAGTTCCTCCTGTGCCAGGCAGTTTCTTCACTAGTGTTTCTATGAACAGTCCTAGTCTTCGTGGAGAATTCACAGCTTCCCACAAAACGCCAGGAAGTCACGTCCCAGAAGGTTTTATTGGAACTCCTTGAAGTATCATAGCATGTGTTTTCTGGTAATGCTGATTTATTTTTTGTACTGCTATCTGTTTTATTTTGATATATAATCCATACAAAAGTCCTGTAAAATATAATATTATATCCCTTGAAGGGGTTAGAATTTTTCCTCTTGAGTATTTCAGCAGGAGCTCACATTGTCTTCTCATTTAGTATAGTGATTTCTGAAATGACCTGTTGGGTAAGTTACTTCCTGTGGGGGGAAAAAAAAAAAAAAAAAAAAAACCCTTTGAAATAAATTTTAATGTTCTGTCTGTCAGCTGATGTTAACTGTATTCTGGTAAAGATTAATTTTAGTAGTGTTAAACACATTACATGAAATACTTTTCAGGAAACAAGGAAATTACAGCGTTGTGTCTTGTTCTGTAGTCCCAACAAGGCTTTTCTCAGGAGGAATTCAGGTTTCTTACGGATAGCGTTGTCTAAGTGTGTTTAGTGATAGATACAAAGCATACAAAGAGTACAAGAGCTCTTGTACTCTTTTGAAATTCTGATGTATTGTGACAATGAAATACCATCATACTCTTCTTTATTGCCTTATTTGCTGCATTTACTGYCATTTAATATGGATACTTTCCATAATTGATTAACTTCCTCAGGAGATCTCAACAAGTAGAAAACCTGAGTGTTTATTTTCTGACAGGATTTTCAAACCTTTGGCTGACAGCATTTTACTGTTCTACCAGATTGCCCTGTTACCATCATTTTTCAAGTTTCTTAAACAGTGTGCCTTGTAAAATCACTTTAACCCATTGCATCTGCATGTTGGCCGAGGGTAAAGAGCTGGGCAGTAAGCTCAATAGTGTGGCATTAGTATGTTTCTAATAATGTTCCAAACTATGATCTCTTTCCAGTTTTGCATTGCAGAGGTTACTAAATTCACAAATTTCTTTCTTTTATGATGCACAAAACTAGTTAAAATTTGTTCATTTAGAGAGAATGTGCATAATGGCTGCACTGTAAAAGAAACTTACCTCAGTACTGTTCAGATTCCTTCTGTAATGTGCTCAACAGGACACTGCACCTAACCCAGGTAAGAAAAACAGTAATGAATATGGCAGAAAAAACCCCCAGAAAACTTCAGCACTTTCTTCATCTCATAGGCATTCATTATAAAATCAATACAAATAAAGGTGCTGGTATTTGAAAAACAGTGGAATAAATGTGAAGCAACCTGAGGAGAGTAACAGTTCTTCTGGCTTCTTTGCTGTGTGTTAATGGCCGCTTTGCAGAATCATTTTAATATAGATCCATTTCAAAACAGACACCTAGAATAGTTGCTGTCACTGGAATAATTTCACCTAGAGGGAGAATTAAGTTTAAAGCATCTACAGTGCAGTTTTCATACCATAACAAATACTGACTTTTCTGTAAAATCCCAGGCAAGTTTATTGTCTATAATAAGCAGAATTTATTTAGGCACAGTGAAAGGCAAATAACAAGCCTGACAGTTGAGGTATGAAGAAGACAAGGCGTAATGGAACAAAACGGAAACTGCTATGTTTCTTATATGGGATTCTCATCCTAAAGGGAAGTGGAATTCATTATAGAGTTTTAGACTTTGGTAAACTCAGTAGTCTTGTAGCTAAACAAAATAATTTTTAGTCTCCGAGAAGGTGCTTCAACTAGAAATTCTCTACTGTTTTATTTCTTCTCTCCATGATATATTTATCTGTAATACATAGTCTTTTTGAATGTTGTTTCTGCTTGTTTGGAGAGTTTATGGTTTATTATTATTTTTTTACATTCATTTCATGATTCATGGTGGTTAGCATAATGGGTATCCTAATTGACGCCAAACAAGATCCTTTCTGAATTATTTTCATATAGCTTTGCTGATTTTATAGAGGCATAAAATGGTCGTAAAATGCTCTTCATTCTTGTTACTGGCCTTATTTCTTAAAATAACATTAAACATGCATTTTTAGCTTTATTTGCTAATAAAAACATTATGCTATCTGCTATACTGGAAATTTAACGCAGCAAAATCCTGTGCATCAAACAACTTGTTAGAGAAAGAGCTTTGTTGGCAAATGAATATTTTGCTTTCATTTGTAGTCAGCTCAGGTGTCTGCGTAATTTTGATGGAGTTCCATTTATTCAAAAGCAAGGGCTTTTTCACAGTTTGTGCCAAGGACTTTATGGATAATTGATTGTAATGGACACCTTAGAGCTGAAAGCACTTTATTTGTGCCATTATGTGCATTTGGGGTAGCACTGAAATAGTGTGAGTTTTTTATACGTTATGTAGGGAATTAAGCGGTGTCTAGCTTGCATGTAAATCAGATCAACTACTGCATTCACTATTCCCCACCACAGTGCCACTACTATTTAGTTGTGCAGATGGACTACAAGAATACTTAATCCAAATGTTTAACGATATAATCGTCTAAGTGAAGCATACACGTTCACCACAGTGAACACTCAAAGTAGGTTATTAAGTAGGAATTTAGACTAGAATATTTTACTGAAAATTTTGAGTATCTGCAGTGAGTCATAGCATTTTTTTTCTCAACAGCACAACAACAGAGTATCTCTTAAAATGTTTGGGAATGTTAAATAATTTCATCATTAACCTGGTTATCATTCTGCTCCTTTGCCACTTGATTTACTGAACTGATTGCTTTTCTTTCCTCCTGGATTGTAACTTCAGCTACTTTTAGCTAAAAAGGAGTAAGAGTCCTAAACATGCTTAAAACAGAATATAAGCCAAATCTTTATTCCTTTTTTTTTTTTTTGTAGTTAATACAAATCCATTTCTCAGTGAAGTGAGAAAAATATTTGACCACTTGAGGGTCATGCTTTTAAAATACAAACCCAAAGATTTTCCTACTTTCTTATGGATGAGATGACCTAGCTTTTGCATGCAACCATGCCCACRACCACGATTTCTGTGCTGGCTGCTGGTTTCACACTGTTATTAGTGAAGAGACCAAATATTTTTGGTCTACCATTCTGTTCTTATTAGCAAACCATAAAGATTGACGATGAATTGTACTTTTTTTTTCCTGTGGTTTTTTTTCTTTCATTTTTTGTAGTTCTGATGTAGCAGAAATTCTGAAAGTTTCTCTGGTGACAGTATGGGAAGATGCTGCTCGTATGTGAGGAAAGAAAAGCAGTGGTGTATTAGTTTTAAGAAGAGCTGGGA